AAAAGTCTATAATAAATACCAGCAAATATTTAGCACATGTTCTTTCTCGGGGTTCAATGGAAAGACCTTCTACGTATGAAAGTCCTGGACAAGGTTAAGGCCTAACTGGAGCACAGACAACTATTTGAGCTCTGATTGTTCTGCTGTTTGTAAAAATCTCAGTGTTTAAATGACCTTGAAGCATTTTTTTTTTGCTCTATTTTCAGCTGATTTGTGTGTAATAATGTTGAACTTTCCTTTCAGAGCGGAGGCCGAATGGAGAACTGTCCAATCATGTGAACACCTGGATCCACGTCACAACACTTTTACTTTGATTACTTTTTAGTTCCTAGTTACGAGTAGTTGTAGTTATTAGCTCGGTTCATGTACTTTGGAATAATTTTTTAAGATACTGTATGCAATAAGACCTTATGCTGTTTTTTATAATGTACATAAGCATGCTTATGAAACATTTGTTGAATTTAAATGTTTTTGTGTCAGTGACATGTGGGGTTGGATAAAGGAAAACCAGCAGGCAGCACAGGCAGTATGCAAACAACCCAGCAGCTACTTTTCATTCTTAAAAGCTCTGTTACAGGTTGATAAAAGGCAGAAGACATTATACCATTGAGCAAATATAACTCGCAGGTAAATCTGATTTGTCTCACTACCCGTCGCAGACGAGCCGACGCAGCAGGGTTGCAGTTTATTTACAGTTTTTTGTAATAGTTTTGCATTAATCCTTCACTTAAAGTAAATTGACCCCAACCTTGTGACAGATTTACAGAATATTGTGTATTTTTGCTAATATCAATAAAGATGTTTTCAATAAACTTTTGTATTTGTCTCATTTAACTGTAACTAAATTGTCCAAACACTTGAAGTATTGGCTCATTTGTAATAATGCACAGGAACTTGGTCTTTACCGGAGTATTTCAGTGTTAAGCTCCTTTTTACGTCCAGGATACGAGCTTCATTAATACCTTTACTGCACATTTAAAAACCACATTATTAAACATTTCTGAACTGGAAAGACGTGTCCAAGTACGTAATAAATGCATGAAATCAATGTGTAGCCCGGCTTACAGCGGAGTAACGCTTCAATCTAAGCACATTTCTGTATCTGGCTTGGGCTGCAAGGCGGTTAGCATCGTTGCCTCGCAGCAAGAAGGTCGCTGGTTGGCATCCCGGTGAGGACACCCGGGATCTTTCTGCGTGGAGTCTCCATGTTCTCCCCGTGCAGCGTGGGTTCTCTCCGGGTTCTCTGGCTTCCTCCCACAGTCCAGAAACATGCTGAGGTTAATTGGTGATT